TATTAACCTATACACATATGTGTTCTGAGATTCATGGGCCAATCGCAATCCAAGCGGCTTCATTTCCAGGAAGATCAGGATGTTTCATGATCCACGGGGTGTCTTCCGGGGAGAGTTTGGTTTGCAGCTGGCGTTTCGACTGTCTGATAGCATCTGCAGCTACTTCTCCTTCCTTCGCGACCAAATCCTTGTACCGAATGAAGGCGTCCAAACTCTTTAGCTTGCGTGTCACCTCGTGTGACGCCTGAACGATATACTTGCTCGAAGACCAATTCCCGCCGGTGACGAGATACTCGGTGAACAGCTCGTCCAGCTGCTTGCTTCCTTGCATACAAGCTATGAACCATCCCTGAGCCTCCCGAATCTTCATACATATGTGGCTTCAACAGCTTGCTGCTAGCTGATTATTATAAGATGCTGTCGCTGCCGCAACCCGAAATAAGCAAGTTCGAATTCTAAACCCCACACGACGGTAGGAGTTTCGGATCGGATTCCGAGGGAACATTGGTGGCTTGGGTTTCTTGCATTGCATAATTTTATAACATCATATCACAAACCTGAGCCCACCATAGCCGCAGCCGTTGTAGAAATAAATCCCTGAATTATCCAAAAGAACACTGTTGCTATGATATCGATGGATGGCCTTGCCAAGCAGTTCTCCCAAAGCCCTTGAACAACAAGCTACAAGAAGCTTCGATGAATCGGACCAGGGTTCGAGTTGTTAAGGGTAAGCCACATTAATAATATGCGCATCCAAGGCACCGCGCTTCGCATCCTTGGCCAGCGTCACGATTTTCTCGGGGCAGTCTTTGCCTGGGACTGCTTCTTGCTAGCATTATTATTACACGGCCCTGAACTAATATAGCTATAGATAAGCTATATTTTTGTATTAGGATAAAGGTTTAGGGGGGTTTAGGGTTTAGTCGTTTAGGGTTTCATGGGTCTAGGTGCCGGGTTGCTCTTGATCGACCGATTATACTTCATGAACAAGTTGTGGGCGAGGCGTTCCAGCCTCTCCTCATCGGTCTCCCCCTCCTTGTGCTGCAAGCTAGCCACCTTCATTAGGGCTGGTATATAAAATTTTGAGTGTTACCGGACTCTCCCCGACACATGCATTACCTCAGTTTGTAGTATCCTTAGGGAGGGGGGTCCAAGGGGGGTATATAGCCTAGTGATCCCTAATTCTCCCTTAAGGTTCCCTTACAGTCCCCTAAAAATTCCTTATACCCTCCCCCCTTGAACCACCCTCCCTTAAGGATCCTATAATCAGTTCCTACCCTAGCCCGGTGCTTCAACCCGTGCTGGCCTGAAGCTGAAACTTCTCCGGATGGGCCAGGGCCTGCTGAACAGCTGCCTGCCGTGCCTGCTTCACCTCCTGTGCGGTTACCGGTCCATCTTTCTTCTCTGTTTCACCAGGATCACTGGGAGCCTGCGGCATCTGCGCATCGGGCACTTGCAGCTGGTGTGGGACCGCTTCTGTGGCTTGCTTGGGGATTGTCTGCACTGCTGCTGCCGGGTTTGTCTGCTCTGCTGTTGCGGGCACTTGCTGCAGTTGTGGGGCCGCTTCTGTGGCTTGTGCCGGGTTTGTCTGCACTGCTGTTGCGGGCACTTGCTGCAGCTGCGGGGCCGCTTCTTTGGCTTGTGCCGGGCTTGTCTGCACTGCTGCTGCGGGCACTTGCTGCAGCTGCTGTGGGGCCGCTTCTGTGGCTTGTGCCGGGCTTGTCTGCACTGCTGCTGAGGGCACTTGCTGCTGCTGTGGGGCCGCTTCTGTGGTTTGCGCCGGGTTTGTCGGCACCTGCTGCACTGCTTCGGCTTGCTGGGGCACTGCGTCCACGGAGTCTATGGCCATGGGCACTGCAGCCGGCGGTTGCACCTCATGAGGGTTTAGGGTTTAAGGGATAGGCATCATAAGCACGGTACCATATAATGACGCCTGGACCCTTTAATGATTGTTAATATAATTAACAATCATTAAAGGGTCCAGGCGTCATTATATGGTACCGGTATTAATTTGAGGGGGCCATATAATTAGCCTAGACATTCCGGGTCCTGGCCTTGTCGTCCAGATCCATTGCCTCTAGCTCTGCTAGAAGCTCTGGATCCAACTCCGGGTCCGCTTGCGTCGCTTGCTGCATGTCGATATCTTCATCCGGAACACCGATGCCGTGCACCTTACCGTAGGCTTCGAGGAGGCAGCGGGCGGCGCTGGATGCAGCAGTGCGGAAGGTAAACTCTGACTTTCTGAAATCGTCGTCGATGTTCTGCAGCTTTCCGGCCTGCCACGTCAACACCGTCTTGCACTTCGCCTCGAAGTCGTTGTCATGCAACTGTTTTTTGTCACGACGAAGCTTGAGGTTTCCCAACATGATGCCTGCTTGCCGCTCCACACTGGACCTCATGTCGGGAGTCTTCGTCGCAAGCTCCTGATATGCATGCTTGCGGGACACGGTAATGTTGACCAGCTCCTTAAGGCCATGCAAGTCAACCTCCGCGTTGATCGCATCCAGCAACAATGCTTCATCTCCTTTGCTGAAAACACCTTGCAGCCACAAAAGCAAGGGGCCCGCCGTGGGGTTCTTCTGCATCACTGCCTCAAGGCTGGGCCAATCATTGACTTCCTGGGGCACTTCCAAGAAGCCTTCAGAGACCACCCTCATGAGGGACCACATAGGATCCTCCAAGTCCCCTGCTAGGGTAGTAGCAAGGTCACTGTAAGACCTCCCAACCATCGGCAAGGTGCTCATGCTGTCTGGGCTGCGGTAGCTGCTGCCGCCCTCGCGAGCGGAGCCTCGTCTGATATTTGCAAATCCCCATCGATTGGCTTGATATCGAAGGTTCGAACGGATTGGGGCATCGTTCCTATATAAGAACCGCAAACCCAGAACCCTAAAGCTTATAATAAGGCCAATATACTACCCCAAAATCTTGAAACCTAAAGCCTCAAAGGAAGCATCAAGCAACCGTAAGGAGCCCTAACCCGTTCATATAGCAATAGATCACAAGCTTGCCCAGTAGCTCATTTCCACATCGGAGTTGGCAAGATCGCCAGCTTTCGGCATCACCTGTGAAGATATTTCATTCATGTAGAATACATGGGTTGAAACAGGCTCTCGGGTTTAGGTTTACATGGGTTGCATCGCAACTTGTACCCCAAGCCCCTGATATCACAGCCAGAAAACTTCGATCCTTGGCATCCGCAGTGGGTTGCTGCAGCCGCCCCCCAATATCGGGTTATGTAGTTATAATAACATATGATCTTGCATTGCTTTTTGGGTGTGCTGCGTGGGAAGCTACGTGTGGGTTGCTCGAAAAGGCACCGATCTTGAAATTTCGAGTGTCAACCGTCGTAGCCCTTGGAAATCGAATAATTGGACCCCACATGCAGCTGGTGTCGGCCTGGCTCTGCGTCACAGCAGCACTTGGCACGGCTGTCATCTCCTCATCCACCGGCGCCTGCTAGCATAGGATTGGGTTGATCATATATAGTCTCCATTGTAGTTCCTGATTCGTAACCCAAGTCTATAGTAGATAGGATCCAAACCATGAAACTTATAAATTTGTTAACCACAAATACAAGGAACTACAATGGAGACTATAGGTAGTAATGAACCCAGAAGGTCCCGGGAACCGCATCATATCGGGGATACTTCGACAAATCATAGTTGTAACTTCAAGTACAGAAACCCTATAACACAATAGTTCCAGTCTAGATCTGCTATACTAGTACTATATATGCAGGTAAATGTGCAGGTTTAAGGGTACGTAATATAACCGACGGGGGACCTTGCTGTTCAGGGCTCCAGCAGCTGTAGATCCATCTTGGTCGATCTGTGTCTCCGGCAGCTGGGATCCCTTCGCCTCATAAGGAAGCGGAATTAGTCCACGGTACTATCATGAATTCTGCCATCGATTGTAGATGCAAATCAAGTTTAAACTACCCAATCTCAACTTCATCATAAACCGACGGGTGACATTGCTGTTCGGGGCTCCAGCGGCTTGATCGATCTGTGGCGCCGGCTGGCCTGCCTGAGGGAAACGGGATTGGTACGAGACTTCTAGAATTATATTATATTCCAACGAGCGACGTTGCTGTTCGGGGCTGCAGCAGCAGCTTGGTCGATCTGCGGCGCCGGCTGGTGGGCCTTAGGGATTAGCACACGGGATTTTTAGAATACTAGAATTACTATGAGCTAATTTCGGTTTCCAGTTTCCAATTATAAATAATTCCAATGGGCGACCTTGCTGTTCGGGGCTGCATCAGCTGTAGATCCAGCTTGGACGATCTGTGTCGCGGGCAGCTGGGATTCCTCAGGGATTTGGGATTGATTGTGAATTCGCAGGGCTCATGAGCAAATAGGAAGCTATTCTCGATGTGCAAAAGAAACGAAAGTAACCCGAACCCAAAGCCCGGCCTGGGGTCCCTCCATCGCCTCATCGAAACTGAGCGTTGTGCGACACTCCACTTTCACCCTTTTCAATTCCGGGCTCCTGATCGGGGTGCTCTTCGGTGTAGGTCCTGCTGGAGCCGGTGTTGAGCCGGCCGTGGTGCCCGGCTTCGACATCTTCATTGGCGTGGAGGCTGCATTATACGTACTGGGCTTGGGCTTGGCAGGGATGGCATCGGGAGCTTGCCCAATCTCCTTCTTTGCAGCCAGCATCTGGTTCCCGGTGCCTCAGAATGGCAGAAACCCTAGCAGCTATTTAAAAGCATAGTACCTTGGCCTGCACGAAGCCCCGCAATCGATGACATAAACAAACAATGAGTAACACACACACACACACATGAACAGACAGGATAGCTAGGTCGACAGCTGAGTGCTGCAAGATGAAATCGAAACCAGGGTCTAGGGGGTTAGGGGTTAGGGTTTAAGGGTTTGGGGTTTAGGTTCGGGGTTAGGCTTTAAGGCTTTAAAGGGGTTTAGGGTCAGTTTATAGCCGATAGCTATGGATACAATAATTATATATCCAGTCGCTATATATGTGATCAATAGTACTGTGATCTACCGAACCCAGGCGCCCTTCGAAGCCGTGGCCATCTGGTTGAGCTTCGAAGCTGTCAGCTGCGGAGGCGGGGTCACGATTGTCGGTTTCTTCGGCGGTGGCGCACCGGTCGGAACAATCGTCGTCTTGGGAGGTGTCTTTGTTCGCACCCGCCTTTTCGTCTGCGCATCATCTGCTGCTGTCGCCATCCCAGCATGAGTTCCACCTGTGCTGTCGCCACCTGCAGGCAACGGCCGACGGAGACGAATGATGACAGCAGCTAGATACTTGGCCAATATTATTTAGAACCACCAACTTAATTAATAATATGCACCGAACCATCTTAAGCTATCATGACACGAGGCCTTCGAAGACTCGAATATAATAGTCAATCAATTTAACTTGAAACCCTAGCCTAAGCCCGCTATGGTTATGACGAGCGGCCTCCAAGGCCGATGCCCCGCAAAGCCTTTGCCACCTCATCCTCAATTTTTTGCTTCGAAGCCTGCATGCACACCCATGTACATATGTATACATGCAATGACACCCAATGAGCGATTATACGTACGTACATGATCATGACGACGACACATGTACAGTACCGCATATCGATCGCGATGTAGCATGCAGGGTCCCATGGCCACATGTTATAAGTACGCATGCACTCGTGCCTGGGCCGCTGGCTTGCTGGCAGCCATGCCGACTTCGATCCAAGATCGATCGAGTCGGTGCTAAAGCGAATTGGGTTCCCGAACCGTTGCAAATTGCTTGCTGATCTAGCATTAGATCATGAGCGAGGTAATACATTGACACACATATGTATATATATATGTATATATAATTATATATTTAATATATATATATACATACATATATATATATATATATAGATAAGCAACTGACTACCCCATCTAACGCCATCTAACGCCAAATATCATTCGGCTCAAGGGGCCTGGGTTTGCTTGGAGAGCGATCAATGAAGCATCGTTGAGCAACAAGCGGATGTACCCGTGCTCCTTCATCTTCATGTGCTTCGTCGCCTCCGGCCAGCGCTCGGGGTCGATGTCCATATCATTCTCGATCTTGTACATGAGGTACTCCAAAAAGTTCAGGAAGCCCACTTCCTTGTCGACATCCCTTAGCTCTATACAAGTAAAAAATTAAATACATAGTCTATATACGGCATATGTATAAGTATATATATGTATATATATATATATATGTATATGTATATGTGTTCATGCCAAGAATCTCCAGCTGGTCTAGGTAACCTCTCCGCCACATCACGACCAAGGACCTCGCGACTTTGCCTGGAACCTTGGCGTGAAGCAGCTTGGCATAGGCCTGGACGACAATTTCATCATCGCCCTGCATCTTGACCTAGCCCAAAGTTCCTGGCAGCTTGGCTTGAAGACGGCTGCCATGCACGAGATTTGAAGCATGATTCCCCCCCTTCTTCCTTCTTAGGGCCGTCCGGCCCCTGGAAGCTTTGGTTGCAAGACGGCTGCCATGCACGAACCTGCCAAAAATGATTCCCCCGCCTTCTCCCTTCGTGGGGCCGTCCGGCCCACATCCCATCTCTTCTGTCTGTCTCCTCCGTCTTTCTGTATCTCTGTCGCTCTGTCTCTCTCTCTCTCTCTCTCTCTCTCTCTCTCTCTCTCTCTCTCTCTCTCTCTCTCTCTCTCTCTCTCTCTCTCTCTTTGGTTAGCAAACTGGGGCCGCCCGGGCCGTCGTTTCAGCAAGCTGAAATCAATAGAAACATCCACCTCAAAATCAATAGAAAATCTCCATAAAATCAATAGAAATTTTCCATAAAATCAATAGAAATTTTCCATAAAATCAATAGAAATTTTCCATAAAATCAATAGAAAGACCACGATTAAAATCAATAGAAGTCAACACTCAAAATCAATAGAAACACGTACCAACAAAAGTTCCAAACGATTGAAATTTCCTCAAATTCAATAGAAGTTTCGTGTGCCTCCAAAATCAAGCGGCCGATTGAAAAAAATCAAGCGGGCGTCCTCTGGGAAGTAGTCACGAACTGCTTCCGCGGCTCTGAGTGCCCGACTGGGATTGGAGGCAGTGGAGGCAGTTGAGGCTTTGAGGCTAGCGGGCTTCCACTTACCAACAGAGAAGTACCTGCGCGTAAGGTTACAGGACCTGTTGGCTCCCCCTGAGGCTTGGTTCGCGTTCTTACAGAGGCCTTGCTTCTCACGCTCCTCAGCACGGCGGAGCTTCAGCTTCTCTCGGTAAGCCTGACCACTGGTGTAGTCACCAGTCTTGACTTTGTGAGGTTTGCAGTTCTTCACTTGAGCGCGCGCTTGCTTCGTGTAAGCCCGGACCTTGTCGGCTTCCCAGCCCAAAGCTTTAACCAGCTTGGAGCGCTGTTTAGGCTTCAGGCCCATCCACCATCGCGCCCTTTTGGTATCTGCATGGTGTCGGCATTGGGTTCCCGCCATGGTACTGGTGTTCCCTCGTGCCAGACATGTACGGCATATCCATGTCCCGTTAACGATGTCATCAAGTTTCGCACGCTTGACATGAAGCAGCTCATGGCCGGTAGCTACTTGCTTTGCGCGCTGGAGCGCGCGGAGAGTATTGGCCTGCCGTCCCGGCAACGGGCATTGGCTAAGGCTAAGATCGTGCGCCACCCTCAAATGCTTCGCACGATAATATTGTCCTTTATTAAATCCTTTCACTTGCACGCTCTGATGACAAATCGGGCATGGCCAAGGCCACCATCCCCCACCTGCAAGGGGCAGGGAGTCCTGCCTTTTGCGCGTCTTTTCGTCGGGAAAAACTGGGCACGTAGTGGTCTCTCTCCGCTCACCCTCCGCAGCAAGAAGTTTCAAGGCCGCCTTGGTGAGGGCTGGGGCGGCGGCACTGCTGGCAACCTCGGAGTCGGCCTTGCAGCGGGTGTCAGGAGCAACACTGCTGACCGCCGAGGCCGCCGTGCCCTTCTTGCTTTCGGAGTGTCCTAAGTGGTCCTTAGTCGAAGAAACGCCTTCCGAAGGGCCCTTAGTGACAAACATTCGGATCTCGAGCTTTCGTCGCTTGGATTTGCTAGTACTGTCGCTTAGGGGAGCTCGGTGGGCTCCTCTGTCCGACTCTCGCGGCACGGCGGGGTCCTGTCCCCACGTGTGCAGGGACGGCGTGCCCTCTTCCTGCGATCGGTCTCGGGACTGTCCTGGTCTGGGAGGCCGGCCTGCAGAATCCTTAAGCACAGAGAAAGACTTCCCAGGCAGCGCTGCTCTTTCACCGACGGTTCGGGGAGCTGGGGGCCCAGAGGCTCTAGAAGAGGAAGCCTCACCAGACCGCACGAAAGTGTGAAGGGACGGCGTGTCCCCTTTAGCCTTGGCCCTCTTCTGACTTCCCACAACAGTGTGAACTGAGGGAGTGGCAGGGGCCTTGCAATCCGAGCCGCGGGGGCCAAGAGAGTGGAGCGAAGGGGTGGCAGGCTCACTGGGAGGAGTCATCCCTCGGCCGGCTCCCAACAGATCGACGATCGTAGTGGGAGTTTCACGCAACCAACTCCGGGGAACATCATCAGGAGAAGGCGGAATGAGAGCCTCATAATGTTTGTTCGAGAGAATCAGGACGATAGGATGAGAGTCTTTAGCGATGCACGCAAAGCCAGAAGAAAAGAATTTGCCGGCAACGACGAATCTAGTCCACTCGTTGTCCTTAGACTCCCATACAATGATTGGGGTGCCTACTTTCTCGCTAAGCGCCTGCACTAGGGACCCGCAAGCCCAGGTAGATTGGGCGCTGACTTTCTTCTTGAAAGCTTGAAAAGCTTCCTTGTCCTTCCACAGTTCCATGAATCTGGATTCGTGGTTCTTGAGATGCTGGACGGTCCAGGCGCGGAGCAGGGCACCTTGGAGCTCAGACTGCCTCGGGTTGATGAGCTCACCACCCTGAGCAGCGCGCACGCCCGCACAGGCCCTAAAAAAGCAATCACCTACTCCTCCGTAGTCGATTCGTTTCCAATTACGCTCCAAAGCATCAGAGGGGTCAGCTGGGGGAGCAAAACCTGCATGGGCAGACGCAGGAGCGGCGGCGGCCTTCCCAGAAGCTCCTGCCTCGTCTTGGTTGTCAGTTTGATCCGAAGATGCTCGTCGTGGGGACCTCTCCCTGGCGGCTTCGTCGTCGAGCTGAGTCGTCGGGACGGTCTGCTTAGTCGTGGTTCCATTGCCACTGGCCTCACCAGGTCGGGGGGCCTTAGGCGAGGGTTGGGCAGGGTCAGCACCTGTACTCTTTTTGCCGGAGTCCGATGGCTCAGACAGATCCTTGTGGCGAGGATTGCGGACAGGCTGAACCGTCGTGACAGTTTGCCGAGACCGAACCAAAACGAACAGTTCAAGACACCAAGGCTTGTCGGCATCATGAACATCGTAGCGCCAGCACGTAGGGCTGGTAGTGCTGGGGGGGGGGCTGGGCCTTGAGGTACCACCTCTTACCACGCCTAGCACTGAAGGAGACGTCAGACCATTTCAGGTCGGAGAGAAACTTATGAGCTTCTTCCTCTCCCCACTCTCTCGGGAAACCCTGCATGACCAACTGTTTGGCCCGAGCAGGCTCGTCGTCCGAGTCCTTAGCCTCGAAACCAAGATCGGAGCCGCCACCTGCTCGGAACAGGATCGCCTGACCACGCTCCTTATGCATTGCTACGACTCGTCTGTAGTACTTCTCGCGCTCTTCTTTATCTAAGCGTCGGATCCAGAAGGGCTTGGGTCCTACCTCCTGTGGCTTCCGTAGGCGAGTCACGAAAACCCCGAACTGGCCACTGACTTTCAGAAGCTTACTGCACACGTCAGGTTTCAGGCGCAAGAACCCTGTGAGTGCTTCCTTGTCGCCTTGGTCCTTGTCCCTAACGGCCCAGTTGCCGCCAAGCAAGTCTGACACTCGTACCTGTCCCGCCGAGGACAAGGCAGTGAGCACCTCAGCTGGGGTGTCCGCCGCGCCCGGGTCCTTGCGGAAAGCAGACCTGTAGCACGTGGGTGCCGTGACCTTGACTGCGACCTTGGTTTCTCCAGTAGGAACCTTAGCCACGTCTACCTTTATAGCAGCCTGAATCGTCGGGCTCTTGCGATTGCCCAGCGGCAGGATCGCAACATTTTCTAGCTGTGAGCCCCACCGGCCTCTGGTGACCGAGACCTTGGTAAGCAGGGACCCTTTCGTATGGATCGCGTCTCCTGAGCAGTGAGAGGCGCATCACACCCGAAGCTGTTCCAAAGCTCTTGGACGTGCTCAAGCGCATCAAGGCTCCAGAACTCGCACACGCTGCCTGGTACAGGCAAGCCCTGTTTAAGGCACTCCTGCAGCTTGCCTGCCGTGACCAACACTGGAAGCTCGTGTGCGCTCCAGTCTCGGGCACGCAAGGCTGTGGCCCTCTGCTCGAGGCGGTGGGTCTGAGTCCGAGGCTGAGGTCGAGACTGAGAGCGCTGGGAGGCCCGACCCCACCGAACCTTTCGGGTGGCGCTCTTAGGCGCTTCGACCCAGTCCCACCAGCCGGTCTCGGGATCGTAGTCGTACCATCCTGTTGAGGGGTGGCCGCGGTCCAAGAGGCGTCCAGACCGGGCCAAGTGGCATACTCTTCAGAGCTGACGGCCCCGTAGTCGTGGTCCTGGCGCCAGGTGTCTGGCCACTGCCACGACTGTTCAGGCTCCTGTGCGGCTTCTTCATACGCACCCGACTCGTGGGCTTGCATGATAGCCTTCAGAAGTTGGAAGATTTCGTCATCACGACTACCCTTGTTGAGGAGAGTTTTAAGGCTAGCCATGAGAGTTTTAGCGAGAGCAGGAGACCCAGGGTTCTTCTTAGGCCTGCTACCACCCTCCAAGCGTTCGTGTACTGTCCGCAACCACTGCCAGTAAGCAGTCTTACCGCACTGGGGTCTAAAGCCCGAAAACTTTGAAACTGAGGAAGCGAGCTCCCCAGGAGGCTCCGACCGAAGCAGCGCGTCCCTTGGAACGCAGCAGCGTCTGGTCCTGTTTGACCCAAGCACTCCCTTGCGAAGCCAAAGGCACCGCAGGAGCCATGCCCGTCTGTGCCGTCGCGCACTTGTTCTGATGGCAGGCGCGCGCCTACCACAAACAAACCTACACCGCCAAGCAACAGTCACGACCTTACTCTGAAGTTTTGGCCGTCTGAGCCGAGAACGGAGCTTCTGTCTGGACGTTCGGCTCGCGCGAAACTTTAGCCGAACCCGTCTGAAACAAAGGCCAACACTCTTCTGAGACGCCGGCCTGGAACTAGAGCCTTCACTCTTCTGAGATTCCGGCTGAGGGAGGAGGCTTACGAGAAGCCCCAGCAGCAACAGCCACCCCAGCGGCTGCTCTGCCCAAAAGCTGTCAAAGGACTGGAACTTTGCACGAACGACACAGGTGACAAGCTTGGCAGACAAGAGAGAAAAAGCCCCAACCCTCTGAACGTGCAGCCAAGCATCACACTCGCCATTCGCTTCGAACGTGCCCTGGCGGTCCTCAAGGTCCACCAGCGTAGACTCCAGCAGCGTTTCGGCTTCGGAGGCCACCACGGCACCACTACTACCACGGTCATGGCAGGACAAAGGATCCCTATTGGATCGTAGGAAAGTACTAAGAGGGAGGCCCGTGGGAGGGCCGGTATTGTTCACGCAGGCAGCACTTGTGGCTCTGGTGACAGCAGCAGCAGAAGGCATCGCAGCGCAGAGGAGCAGCAACTGCAGACCCTTCCTAAACCCCAAACCAAACCCCTGACGGCATCCAGTGCCGCTTCTGGTACAGCCCCTCGGGGCTCTAGCTACGGCGTGCCTCTCGTCGGCCACTAGAGGCTCTTCGACATCTTGTTGGATGTGCCTCTCGTCGGCCACAAGAGGCTCTTCGGCATCTTGTGTCTTTCTTGAATCATTCTTGAACTCCTTTCCTGATTCTTTCTTGATCTTGTAGGCTTTCTCAAAACTAGGCGGACTCAGCACCTCAGCAACGCCAAGGCCCGCGACTACCACCGTGGAGGTGCCGCCGTAGTCGCCGTCAATCCACTCGAGATAACCATCATCATCGAATCCAACTTCGACTTCGACCAATCCATCATCTCCAGGCGCAGGTACGGCATATTCCTCACCATCGCCAAGTACGACTTCATCCTTCTGACTACGCCGGGTTTGTTTCCGTGCTGGCGTGGGATAGAAGTCCACAAGACACCCGAATGGGAGAATCTGACCGTCAAATTCGGCACCATCAAATCGTAGCGAATACGCACTTTGTCCCTCGCGTAACTCGATGTTGCGAGCATGACAAAAGTGCTTACACGCATAAGGCCAGAATTTGGCGCTCAGGCCCGCTTGTCGAAGCGCCACTCGTGCGCCATGAAGGACAAGCTTCACCTTACTCTCGGCAATGGCATTAGTGCGAGGCATGCCAGGAGTGGAATGCTTTACAGAGATGCCGACTCTTTTGCAGGTCGATATGAACTCACGGGCTTTATCACAATAGATTTCCCGGATCGCAGAAGGTGCGTACCTTCTCTCCACATCCATGGAGAACGAGTTCACATCCTTAAGGTCGCCGAAGACCTGCTGGAACGCTCGAAGCGTGTCGGCATTCGTCCGCCCCTTGACGGGAACACTCTCTAACCACTCAGTTGCTAGATCGTAGAAGACAACAGCATCTGTTTCCCCATTATTCCCGCGATTGCCAAGCCCGTGCAACACCATAGTATCGATGGTGACGTGCTCGCCAAATTTCTCAAATCCTTTATCGCGTGGTGAGTCTTGGCGAAACGATTTAACGTTTTCCATCTTTGCACGTTGGCATGCATCGCAGTAGGGATTCTTAGGTAGATGGGTCATAAGGTGACGGATGGACTTAGCCTCCTCCCTCGGATCGCGCGCTCTTGGTTCCTTGGGCGGCGACTGATGCTTGGGTTTATCGGGCACCTTCTTGACATCGTCAGGTGCACCCTTCTGGGCACTCTTAACACCAGGCATATCAAGATCGAGCTCTCCGATATCGTCTAGCTCGCCCACAGGTTCTTCGCCCGCGGCCACGATTTTCGCGTGAATAATGATCGGTGCTGGGAGTGCCGGATACACGCGAGGGAGATCAGGTCGACCCGCCACTACCTCGGTTTCGCTCGGAGCGAGGTAGGGGATGTTATTGATAACATCAATCTTGAGTTGTCTCCCTTTGGGATCAAAGAATATCGGATCGCAAAATGGTTCCCAGATAAATCGGTATCCAAGCTCCTTGCATCGCTTCCCTAGGGAAAGAAGACTTGGTGTGCTTTCCAGCACATATGCTTCAATCAGCTCATCAAGGCCGTCAATGCGCATATGGGCAACACCTTTGGTGTTAGTCTTTCCATTGGCGGTCCTAAGGCTGATCTTAGCATTCTGAACTATCAGATCCCTTTCCTCGCGGGACAGATCCCCGAGACCAATAAGGTCTATACCGCAACCGGAGTCGAGCATAAGTCTCCGGACCCTCTTAATAGACTTGACAGCAGCAGCAAAGACCTCGCAAGCGCTCCGCTGAGAAAGCGTGAGCTCAAGAACACAAGCATCATTACCTAGCGTTTTGGCATCAACGTCATCGAGCAAAACCTGCTCTCTCCAAAGCACAGCCTTCATATGCGCCCTTCGCCTCTCGCGAGCACTATTCAGACCACGGATATCTTCCGGCCACGAATAGTTCAAATTCCTCTCGCGATTGACGGGACCGCAGTTTGGCTCCGGGAAAGAAGACTCTATCACGCGGGTCTCAGTATTCCCAAACGATACTGTCTTCCGCTTGACTGACGGACATGCCATATCGAATGATGCAACGCAAGCGAAGGCGAAGTCTCCAATGGAGGATGCTGTCATTGCCTGAGGGTTGCGGCACGCCCCTTTCAAAAATCCGAGGGCGTGGGCGCCGGGCTGTCAACCCGCCTTGATGTCGGCGCGGGCTCAGCAGGCGCAGGAGCGGCAGTAGGAGTGCTCTCAGCTGGGGCACCCGGCTTCACATGCTTATATGGACACTTGTCTCCTCTCGAGCAAGTGCCTCGTGCAAAGTAGAAGCAGATACCAGACTCCTTTGAAATCGGTGACTGCGATCGGGGCGGGAAACCCTTCGGCGAGGAGCTTCTTCCCTTCAGGTTGTGGGAGAACTTGCATCCGCTTCCTCGCGTACATCTGCCTTTCTTGAAATCGTAGCAGATTTCCCGTCCTCGCGGGGATCGCGACATCGGGCGAGTCGGGGCGGGAGCTGCTCGTCCCGGACTGCGGGAATATCGTCTTGGCGATCCACGTCGCGGGGAGGATCGTCTGGGTGACGAGCGTCTTGGCGAGCTCCTTCGGTACGGACTCCCTTTCCTGGAGTCACGACGCCCTGGCGATCTTGAACCCCTTTGACCTCGGGATGAAGATCTGCGCGGGCTACCGTGCGCAGGCGCAGCGTATCGTCTCTGCGCAGAAGTAGACCTTGTAGCGGTGTACATCTTCTCCTGATTGCGTCGTCGGCGCCAAGTTGTAATCGCATTGACGCAGACGGTTCGCAAGTATGCGTAGTTCCGTACGGATACGTCCCTGTCCCATAGCTGCATATCGAGCTCGAGACAGCGGAACTCACGCACCTGCTCATAAAAGAGAGCGCAGAGAACAGGATCTTCGGGGCGATCGACTGAAATACCAGCGAGAACATGATCCCATCGATTGGAGAAGGCTTCCAGCCTTTCCTGCTCGGATCCATGAGTAAACCGATCAATCGTGGTCTTCATCAGGTCAACGAGCTTGAAAGTCGAATCGCCGGTGACGTGTGGTCGAAGGAAATCATACAATAGCCACAAGATCTGCCTACTTCCGAGTCGCCGGTTTATCGTATGCATGCGCTCGGTCTCGGTCTGGATCTTATTCTTCCCCAAAGACTCCGTGTAGTGACCATTTCAATACGCGGACCACTTTTCACTATTTCGATACATTGGTCTATTTCTATACGCGGTTTTTGCTGTATTTTTAATGCTTGCATTTTGAAGTGTATATCGATAGGTTTTGTGCACGTCTCATGATGTGCAGTGCGTGTGCATGCCCGGGCTATAAGCCTGGAAGCGTGTTTTATGCATGTGTGCGGCGTTGTTTGTCTTTGCATGTGCATGTGGTGTCTCGCGTGCATGTGTACGTGTGTGTGTGTACGTGTGTGTGTATTGTGCGTGCGTCCGGGGGGCGTGTTTTCATGTTAACGGCTCGCCCTCTGGGTCGATAGCATATCATGAGCTCTCTCGATCCTCTCGTTTCTGTCCCTCTCGATGTCCCTGTCGTAGAGTCGTCCCATCTCGCTCGCTCCCATCAGCTGTACAGTGCTCTAGATCTAGTACACGGGATTCGGAAGATTCGGCACAGTGCTCGCTAATTATATGAGGATCCGGCAGCGCTTATCATTATAAGCACTAGGTATCCTCGGAGCTGAAGCTGGGGGTTTCCATACGGCCGCTCAGGTTTCGAATTAGTTGAATATATTGCAATTAAAGGCTAGGCCGGGGTCTGGGGCGTAGAATTCTCCTTATTAGTGCCAGCAGCGATACGATGCCGGCCCGGTTACAGCTGCTGAACGAAGTCAGCAAGAAGCGATCGGCCGCCGAAGGTTTGTCCACCATTGTCCACCCCAATGCCCTGCATTTGCACTGCTGCATATAGAGCATGCGCAGGGACTGATCGATTGCAGCTCGAGTTGCAGTTTGCCGCATTGCATCATGATCAAAAGCGATTCTAAATGGAGCTTCAGCTGCTCGATTCTTTGCATGTCATGCTTCAAAAACGGGCCAGGTTGCAATAATCAGCTCGAAACATGCTACTAGAATTATGGGCCCTGCTGGAGGCTTTGCAAATTTCAAGCTTCAGCTTCAAGCACGATTGAGTGCACAGGTTGCAGTCTTTCGAATCATTGCTACAGAGCTCGGGTTAGGAGATCTAGCTAGACATGGCACCGGCTGAGTTCAAGCAGATGGATTCGCGATGCGGAGGGAAGCAAGTGCTGAGGCCCTTAAGGTTCCACTGCTCAGCAGCTGGGCTGCATCATCGATTTAAAGACATACTTGGAGGGGCAGGGGACTTAGTAAGTACGTTATTATTAATTATAAGTACCCTTAAAAAATGGAGTTACCCCAATTATAATCCTACTTCTAAACGACTTACTAAGTCCCCTGCCCCTCCAAGTACATGATTTTTCGGGCAGATGCGCTATCCCAGGAAGGATTCTATTTATTTACCTGAATATATAGCCGATAGCACCTATGAACTCCTTCATCAGGAGAAGGCTATGGCCGTCGTGAAGGCGCTCCGCGAGACAGTGGAGTCCCGCCTGGCCGAGATCAAGGCGGATCCCGCTACTGGGATGCACGGGTCCGTGAATAAAGGTATTGCAGGGACTTGTGTATATTTGTGTATTGCCTGAGGCTAGAACGATCGTAAAGATTTTGGAGACGAACCCAACCACGGCCGACTTGATGGAAGATCCTAACTACGGTCTGATGAAAGCGGTCATTTGCAGCCTCATGATCGGTGTTCGCAAGAGACGAGACCTGATATCGGCAAGAGAACATCGAGTCAGGGACTTACGTGCGAAGTGTGCAAGGTATCCTGTGGCTAGTGCTTCTGTGATTCGGCCCGATTCGCGGGCTCACTCTGGCTTAGGCAGGGGTTCTATATCTGGGCTTGGTCTACGGGTTCTGGTCGCAGGAGGAGATTAAGAAAAGAGGAAAGAAGCATGTGAAGGCCAGGTTTCAGCATCACATTCCTTAATAGCCGGTCTTTGCAACAATTAATGTTACCAGTGCGACCAGGACTGGGCAGAGTTACAAGGGAGTCGAGCACGCCATCTGCAGTCCTACTTCCTACACGTGATCAAAAGGACTCCGCACGCCAGGCTCCTCCGTTATAAGTATAGGCCCTATAATTATAACAATCTCGAAAGCTGATCGCCCCCTCGCTCGCGATCGATGCTAGTATATATGTATCTATTTCTGAATATAGTACAACATATTCCAAATATATTTACTGAACCCCTTGAAACCCTAGCCTCGGAAGCGGAACACAAAAGAAACGCTTTGATCAGCAGCTCAACTAGGCCGGTACATGTACATAGATATGTAGTATACGCCCTCCAATAAGATGGAACGTTGATTTTAAGCACCTTTAAATCCCAAAGGGTCCTATATGTACTGTTATGGGGGATACTTCCCTAAGTCATAATCGTAATTCCTAATAATATGGAAACCCTACATATCTACCATATCGGTACATATATATGACCCTTTGGGAATTATAAGCTATACGCCCGTGCAGGCTCGAACGCATGATTGTGTTGAAAACTTTGTACTACCGTGTGAACAACCTGGACATGCCCACAAGATCCTCGTCATCCAAAAGTGTCTCTTCGGTGTCTCAGCTCGATATCATTCAACAAAGTAGGCTAGATCTAGAGTACTCCGATGCTGAGCTAGTGTGGATAAAGCAGATGATTTTCGCTCAGGTAGAGACAGAGGCTTCTTCCGGCCTCGATGAGGAGGAAGACGTGCAGGAGATCGAGAGTTTGGATGTGGAGAGCGCGGATGAGAAGGATGACGAGGTACCCAAAGGGTCCTATATGTACTGTTATGGGGGATACCTCCCTAAGTTATAGTAATTCCTAATTAATATATCGATATGGTAGAATGTAGGGTTTCCATATATATATATAATGGAAACCCTACATTCTACCATATCGGTATAGGACCCTTTGGGATATATATATATATATATATATATATATATATAGGCCCTAGGAGTACATTACTACAGAATGAGTGCCCCGAGGTGCCTGGCCAGTCTGCTGCCGAGAGCATCCGCGAGCTGGTCGTCTGCAGCAGCGAGGAGGATGAATATCGGCATTAAAATAATATGGAATGTCCGATGTGTCATGTGAAGCTTCGCCAGCAATCGAGTCATGCAGTACTGATTTAAATGCGTGCACCGCTGTGCGTTCGATCTATGGCTCACAGATCTAGAGGTGTGGATAAATTGCATGCAATCAGCACAGATATCTGCTAGATTATGCACATGTAGCCCTGCAGTCCGTCGGCTCTACATACATATATCGTATATTTATTAATATATATATATATATATATATATATTGCAGCAGGAACCTACACCGATACCACGGGACGCTGACGCGGCGATCGCCCCTAATCCTGCTCCAGCTGCTGGTCTTGAATCTGAAATTTATATTCATATTGCATATACATATGTACATACCCAGAGCCTCCAAAACCCCTTAATTAATTAAGGAATATACCTTAAAACTTATTATTAGGGATCCTATTATACGGTATATTCCTTAATTAATTAAGGGGTTTTGGAGGCTCTGGGTATATGTATAAATATATATATATATATGTATATATATATATGGGTATTCTCGTCGAGATTGCTATTTCGCCCCTCTAGCCGGTACCAAGGCGGACGGGATGGAGTCGCAAGACTTTAATATTGACGACTTGCTCCCGGAGGTGCCTCGATTGCAGCAGGATGTGCTGCATTTTCGTAGGTGCCTGCTGCGAGTGTAAACTTGGCGTCTAGGATTTGAGACTGCTTTTGAAGTCTCCCGGGCCGGAGGATGTTGCTGGGTGGCATTAAATTAAAGTCCCTAAGGGTCCAAGTACCCAATAATCATATACCCTCATAATAAATCCTAACCTACATTATTGGGTCCTTTGGACCCTCAGGGAGTCGAGTTGATCGGTGTGCATGTGGACCTAAATCTATATAACTAAATATAATTAGCTGTTCAGGATGGACAACGGGCTTCGTTGGAAGCTGCAGTGCCTGGGCTTCCTTGGGTATTGTAGGTTGGCGGATATCGGGATAATTCATCACAAATACATGCAGTAGCTAGTCTAGATCATTTGATGTCGCGATGCCAAAACTGAGGAGGCCGATGAAAAAACACATGACTTGGACGATACGCTTCTACGGTCTCCTGGTGCGACTGGCCCGCATCATATCTGTGGTCGATTGCGTATGCAGTATGCTAATGTCGGACATTTTATATATAAGCTAAACTGATCAGGAAGATGGACCAGCGGCTTCATTGGATGCACCAGCCGTGTCTGGGCTAGCATGTGTTGCGTGGCGATCGTTAGCACGGGTACCATCTGCATATACACATGTCGCTGAGAAAGCTGAGGATCTCGATTCGATGCTTGCTGAGCTAGAGGAGGATATTGACATAGTGGATCTTCTGGATTCACCCGTGGAGGATCCGGATACCGCCACCAGTACTTGAAGCTAGGTACTAGAGCCTGATGTGCTTTAATATTGACGTCATAGCTTGTTGCTGAAACTCTAGAGGATCCGGATGGACGACGAACTGCATCCATGGTAGCTGCAGTGCCTTGCCTTGATAATCGCACTTCGTTTGTAGTACTAGTACTACGGTTGATGATATAAATTCTGCATTGCCCACAATAACGATTCGAATATGCCATAATTTCCCATCGTTTAGGATAAGGTCATGCAGATTTATATCATCAACCGTAGTACTAGTTTGGGTCACAATGACACTTTATAATTATTAAGGATGTGGCGATGGAAGAGGATCCAGAGCACCAGCACATCGAGATGCTTCTGCAGTCTCCCACGGCCGATGTTACTGGGTTGCATCGTAGTATACGCTAGGACTTTGAGCGATATGAACAGCCTCAATCCAGTGTACTCATGTAAGCTTGCTTGGAACTCAGGCTGTTGGACAACAGGCTTCGGTGGAAGCTGCAGTGCTTTGGGCTTGCATGGATGTTTAGAATAATATCTGCGGCGTGCGAAACCAGGGACCAGCTTAGGAGAAAGAAGATCC